AAAAGAAAGTTCTCTGAAGCCACGAGAAACCACATTGGCTCTGAGAACATTTTGAGTTGTGATTTTCACCTTTTAAAACTCTAAGAATATATTTTTGTTGTTGTTAAGCTTCTTGGGCTGGAGTGCTTTGGTATGTCACCCCCCGCCCCCGCCCCGGGAACTGATAAAGAGATGATGTACACAGTACCCTATGGCAGTGTATTAGTTACTGCAGCCATTTCAAAGGCCCCCATCTTGCTGCGAGATGTCTTTCTGTATGCTGTGAATATGTGTTGCTCTCATTGGTTAATAAATAAAGCTGTTTGGCCAATGGACAAAATAAGGTTAGGTGGTACATTCAAACTGAAGATGGAGATGAGAAAGGGCAGAGTCAGAGCAGACATCATCTAGCTGCCCAAGGAGCAAGATGCCAGCAGACTGGTAATGCCATGGCCATGTGAAAAAATATAGAATAGAAATGACTTAATTTAAGTTGTAAGAGCTAGTTAGTAATAAGCCTGAACAATAGGCCAAGCATTTATAAAAAAATTATTAAGGCTCTGGGTGATTACTTACAAGCAGCTGAGGGACAAGGTGGGACAGAGAAAAGGCTCCAGCTACACCATCTGCTGTGGAGGAGACGGCTTAATGGATCACTACAGCAAAGGAGATGGCTAAGTTCGGATGCAAATTCTTTACAGGTTCTTCTCTCTTCTATGGCCTTCTACCACTAGGGGGCATTTGAAGGACATTAGATCAATGGGCACTGACCTCTTGTGGTCAAGTATAGGCCACACATTCTGTATACCCCACTGTGCCAAGACGGTGGGAAGTAAATGGCCCAGAGAATGAATTTACTCATTGGTTTTCTTTTATCTAGTGGCAACTGAGGTTGATGGAGCTAGGGGTGCTGAACGTGTAGAGTGTAAACATCTCAGCATGGATCCTGCTTTACTTGGAGGTAGTTAGTTACTGTTTCTCCATGGTGTTGGAACAGGCAAGTTAAAGATCTCAAGAAGTACAAGACTAGTTTTAAAGAGTCTAAAGAGAGCAATGCATGACAGATTTAAGTGTGGTTCTATGCCTGATTAATGTGACCAAACAAGCCCCTGAAAATGGGAGAGCTGGACAGCAATCATTTGCTCTTTGGAAAGGTACAAAGTTGAACCCTTAGACCAAGTCTCATTGAACAGGGGTCCCCATGATTCCCAATCTGGGAAGGGATTGGAGCTTGAACAGGAAGAAGCAAAACCCACAGAGACGAGGCTAGGATTAGACATTTAATTCTGTCTCTTTCAGTGATTGACGTTCTAGCCGACCCTAGCTGATTCACTTAACCTGTCTGGGTGATTGCTTCCCAGTGTATGAAATAAGGACAATACCAGTCATCAGATCAATTTTCTAGAGTTCATTCCAGGCCCCTAATGAAAGGCACATTATAAACACAAATTGTAATTATACCTGAGTATGCTTTTTACTCAGAGGGAGCCAGAGGCCTTTTCTGTCTTTGAAACTTCAATTATAAAAGTTAGAATCTTCTGCATTTGTCAGAGGTAGATAAAAATTTATTCGTAATATGAATCATATAAGAGCAGGTTAATGATGCTTGGAATCCAAAAGTGGGGCATTACTGATGTGAGCAAATTGCCTGGAACCTGGAGACTGAGAGTCTGGTCCTCATTTTTTCACTAATTAACCCTGAGGCCCTGGGCAAGTCATTTCACCTCCCTGTGCCTTAGCCCAAAATGATGCAGCTGGGTGAGAAATGTGTTTTCCAAACTTCAGTCATCCTTTTCATGTTTTTTTGCTATATCTAAGAATCATCTATCTATCATTATTCACAATATTTTAAAATTCATTTATGTTAGCAAGCCTTTTACATGTAAATGAGTGCTGCATCTTGATTTACACAATAGTATCCATAACATTACAGTTCCATACACACAAGCACATGTGTACACACATGTAGCTCACTAAAGGACAAATATGCTTTGTTTGTATGTAGCCTAAAGGTAGACTTGATTTTCTTGATTGATAATTCTTTTTTGAGATAGGTTTTCTCTGTGTAGTCTTGGCTGTCCTGGAACTCACTCTGCACTCTAGGCTGGCCTCGAACTCATAGAGATCTGCCTGCCTCTGCCTCTGGAGTGCTGGGATTAAAGGCATGTGCCACCATTACCAAGCTGGTTGATTCTTAAATAGTTATGAGACCATGAAGAGAATTTAAAAGACATGATAAAGGAAATAGAAGATAAGCTGATAGTTTTGATGAATTCTGGGTTTTCACTCCAGCAGGAAAACAAAAAAAAAAAAAAAAAAAACTGTGATTTTTTTTTTTTTTTTAGATTAGTAGTACTTTCCCTACCAGCTAGGTAGCTGCATTAGTGATGGCTTCTGCTAACTCAGAAAAGACCATCAAAAGCATCACCAAAGCCAGGTGAGGAGGTGTACACCTAGAGCCCCAGAACTTCTGAGTGGAGGCAGAAGGATAATGATCAGGACTTCAGTGTTATTCTTGACTATATAGTAAGTTCAAGGTCATCCTGGGCTACATGAGACTTTCACACAAAAAGAAAGAAAAAGACTATCAAATATTGCTAGGGAAACATTAGAAGAGAAAAACAATTTTAAAATATTAACTTAAAGGGGAGAAGACTCTATAGTTAGAAAAGATAGAAAGAAATGTATGTGCTCACCCTTTCCTTTATGTATGAATGCACATTTCCAAATTAACTTATGAGTTTAATGCAATCCAATGAAAACCTCACTAATACTTCATTAACAAAATATTAGCTTAAAATTCAGATCCATTGTAAAAGCCAGCAGATCAGGGAGTTTGCTGTGAGATTTTATCTCCTGGGAATGTCAGAGGCTACACCCATGAAGTCTCAGCAACATGGCTGCCTAAACATGAGCTGAACAAGGACAACAGTAGACGTGTCAAAGTGGGTGGGGAAAAGTCCGCAGAGAGAAGTACAGGCCACTGAGGAAAGCTAGGAGCTGGAGAAATAGTCTTCCCCAGGAAAGAGATGTAGCAGGAATCTTAAAAGTTCTTATTAATAAGATCAAACCTGAGCCAGGTATTGGGGTGAACTGGAAGATCAGAGAACCAGAACAAGCCACAGCTACCTCACCTCACCGGATCCTCAGCTGGTCTTGTTTCCTCAGACTGGAGGCCTCTGAATCCTCATCCAGAATGGGTCTCAGCTGAACTGTGCTGCTCAAAACCTAAAAGCTTAACCAGCCAAATGCTTAACCAGCCAAATGCTTCTAGTTTCTGGTCCTCACGTCTTATATACCTTTCTGCTTTCTACCACCACTCCCTGGGATTAAAGGCTCGCTTTCTGAGATTAAAGGCGTGAGTCACCATGCTTGACTGTATCCTTGAACACATGGATTTCTGCCTCTGGAATGCTAGGATTAAAGGTGTGAGTGCCACCATTTTCTAGCCTTTGTATCTAGTGGCTGTTCTGTCTCTGACCCCAGATAAGTTTATTAGGGTGCACAATATTTTGGGGAACACAATACCACCACAAGAAAAGAGCATATCAAATGGTTTCCAATACCAAATGGTCATCCCTGAAAACATATATACAAGTAACATTATACAGACTGAGAGGGTTATATTAGGGAATATAAACGTACATACTAACATATATGCATGTAATAGCAATTAATGAAAATAGAGGCCATTAATTTGAAAGAGAGCAAGGAGGGGTATATGGGAGAGTTTGGAGGAAGGAAATAAGGAAATAATGTAATTATGTTATAATATCACAAATAACAATAAAAAATATTGATTGAAAAGTCCTCAGATCCTTAAAGCAGAACTTATTCTACAAACTAGCATTCGTATTTATTGTTTCCTAGAATAGACATTCATCATGTAAGTAGTATCTTAGTCACTGTTCCATTGCTATGAAGAGGACACCATGAGAAAGGCAACTTTTATAAAAGAAAGCATTTAACTGGGAGCTTGCCTACAGTTCCAGAGGGTTAGCCTGTTGTCGTCATGGTGGGAAGCAAGACAGCAGGCAGGAAGGCAGGCACGGTGCTGGAGAAGTAGCTGACAGCTACCTCCTGATCCACAGGCAGGAAGAGTGATACTGGACCTGGAGTGGGCTTTAGAAGCCTCAAATCCCACCCCAGGCCACACACACCTAACTCCAACATGGCTACACCTCCTAATCCTTCCCAACTGTCCACGAAACTGGGAACCAAGCATTTAAATATATGAGCCTATGGGAAGGAGGGCAGTCTCATTCAAACCACTACAAGCAGGGCTGGCTCGGGGCATCAGTAGTATCCAGGCCCTGTTGCTCTTGTCCTGGTCTCAAGGGTGACCTCTGAGACTGCTGTCCAGAGGTGGGAGGACTCTGATCTGGAGACTGAGGTCTGTGACCAAGAAGCTCATCTGATCACTGCTGTGGAATCGTCACAGAGTCTGTTCATAACCCAAGTCTTGTTTTCCTCACTGTTCAGTGGGACTAACAATATGTCATAGGTATGGTAGAATGGACAGGGTGTGTATTAAATGACATGCATGAATAGCCAGTGGTGCACATAACAAATCATGCTTGAATGGTAGTTGGATTTGACTCTGAGGAACATGGCATTAGGAAGGAATTATGAGAGATTTGGGTCTGTTGTTTCTCAGAAATAGAGTTGAAAGTCATAAGAAATTCCAGCTGAGGAACATACAGTAGCAGATTGGGATGACACCATGTTCCTCCAAAGTCGCATTTGATTCTTTGGCTGTATGACACAATGTCAAGGAAGGTGGTGGCATGCTTGGACATAACAACAATCAAATGTAACTACATAGAGACACCTAAAGATATATGAAAGCCCATGTATAAAGGTTACAGTTGTTCCCATTGGCTTTGTGATAAAAAACAATTTCATATATCCACCATTAGGACCTTTCATATTTTTATATGTTTGTTATCCTTGTTATGTTTCTTTATGTACAATATGACCAGGTTAATGTCTGGATAATCATATTTCTATTTTTCTATTAGGGAAAGAATATAGCCAACTCACCCTAAGCCCTGGGCAAGAAGGTACCCTGTCCCCACCTCTGCATATTGGAGGGTCTTCTTCAGCCTTCCTGGAGATGAACTTTTCACCCTGGGCTAAGAATGTGAGGGTTAAGAAGAAAAACCTCCTGGGACAGCAAGATGGCTCAGTAGGTAAAAACACTTGCTGTGTAAATAAGTCTGATGACCTGGGTTCACTCCCTGGCACTCACTAAAAGGTAGAAAGAGAGAACTAACTCCACAGAATTGTTCTCTGACCTCTACACATGCACTGGGACCTGGGGACCCACATACATACATTGCACACACACACACACACACACACACACACACACACACACACACACACACACACAC